TAATATACGGTATATAAAGATGGGATTTTGAATTCAGAGTATTTATGAGAAGTTTATTTAATTCTGACTACCATAAAGAAGCTCCTAATAAACCTTTGTCATTTTTACAACTATTTTTTATTGGCTACATTTGTACCAGCAAGCACAGAGCAATATCTGAACATCCCATTCAAGGTTTTTTGTTTTATGACTGTTCCTTCACCTATATAATCTGCGTTTATCAACTTGTCCTTTCTAATAAAAATCCAAGAATTTCCTTTTACAACAACACTGAAGCGAGTTTTAGTTACCCCTCTATTTGTTGAACTTATAGCAACCAACTTGAAAATAAACATATGCAAAATAGTAAGGTTTGTACAACTGATGGCAGACCCAAATGCTACTAAGGAGAATAATTGAATATTCAGCTCACAATACAACAATCATACTGATTTATAGAAATTAGTTTACCAGGATTCCCTGGTAATTACTTTGGAGACACAGTAGCCATTCATGTTCCCAACCTTTACATCTTGCATCCCTATTTTCTGTCAATGCCTTTTGGTTTCTCCCATTCATCAGCTGTTACTTTTCATTTCATGGCTCAGTGATAAAACTGTCTAAGTTTTTCCCACCTAGACACCAAACCTGTTTTCTTCTTCACTGCTTTGACTTTCTCAAGGACTCATTTTTTATCACATTAAACATTGCAGGCTAATAAATGTTCTCTCTTTTTCATGATGTGCAGACAAGGATCTGAATCTTAATGATATTAAACTGGATTTCTAGGTAAACACATGGCATTTTTGCTGCACAATACAAAATAAATGACTAGAAAATGCAAGCAGTTTGGTAATCATTCTCAAATCCAACATGCACTTCAATAGTATGCTTGTTTATTTGTAAGTTTTAAGTAAATGTACACAGGATTGCAGTTTTTCAAGAAAGTCTTATGGTCCCTCAACCTTTTGCCAGGCCTAGTAGTAACATTAAAACTAATAGATATCACATAGATTACTTTCTTACTCAGCATGATTAATATCATAAGCCAGCCATTAGGACAAGCAGTAATCAGAGGTCTGACTTCGGATATAAAACTTATATATGACTGACTCCAAAATTTATTCAAGTGTGTTGTGGAACTGATTTTATATACAACCAGCAATTTAACAACTGGTTTGGCCAAAGTGATGCAAACCGGTTGAAACCCACCACGAGGCCCATCCCAGATGTATGTATGCGCAGAGGAGGAGAGCAAAGGAAAGCAGTAGGCCAGGTCTAAGGGAGAGGCAGACGCAGAGGATAGCCAGCCCCTCCCTGGCTGGGAAATAAATAGGAGGGGTTTGGGAGTGGCTGGCTGTTGCAGACAATTGTTCCTTTCTAGTATACAGCAAACAATTCGGATTTCTTGGATAAACCCAGGTTTGTTGGGACTAATTATGTTTGATCTTTTATTTATCCCTGTGAATAAAAGACTGTTACTGCCTTGTTATAAAAAGATGTTGTTTTACTCATGAGTAAACATCTTATCACTACTTGCAAAGGCTGGGTCAGAACAAACTGTATGTATGGGGCCAGACTAATATCCGAGAAAGAAGGCTGTAATTTTAATGATGCCCTGATGGCCATAGTTGTCACTAATGTCAGCACAGGAATGAGGTCATTCTTGACATCCCGCATATGTTCTATAAGCTCTGTCATCTGCATACAGCAATATCTTTGGTTGGGTTGGTCTTGCTTCTTGATGGTTCTAGTGACAGATCTTTGGAGTTCATTGCCCACTCTTTTGCATGAAGTATTGCTAGAAAAAGAAAAATCCATTGCTATGATTCTTAAATATACGCATCCAGGCATAAAGCACCATTGTAACATTGAGAATCGAAATGGAAACCCATTTCCTGGTGAAAACGGAGTATGGTCTTATTCAAGCAAATAGAAACTGCACCAATAAAAGCATAATTGAGGATGTGGTTAAAATCTTACATTCAAGAAAATCTGAGCTGCCTTTACATTAAATTAGAAATGACAATGCAGTAGAAAAGAGATTGAGAGCATATTAATTCTGATAAAAGTGTGCTTTATAAACCATGGCTTTAAAACAAAACTGATCTTTTGTGATTTATTTCAGAAATGGACTTCAGATTCAGATGTTGCTATACCTGTTCCTAGTATCACATATAATGCCAAGGGAGAAATTAGCATAAGCTGCATACTCTCAAGGTAGATATACCTTATTTAGGCTGGTGAAAATCTCTATGCATCTTTCCTATGTTAATCCCCAAAAAACTCTTATACAACACACACACACACCAACATCACCATCCAGGAATAAACAAAACTATTTGCATTATTTTTTTCCTTATTTGTTCCTGGTCATTTTCAACCAGAAATGAACATACCATGTATGCCTATACCTGGGCTGTCAAAATCTCAGCTCGCGGGCTAGAGGTGTCACGCGCTGCCCATGCCCGGTTTAGCAAAGGGGGAAAAAGTCCTGATACATCACATGATGCTGCCATGATGCCGTGAGTTTGACACCTCTGGTTTATACCATTTATATTAGCAACATCAGAATTATATTTGTTATAATTGAGTGAAAGAGAAAATGAAAATGTTAAAAACTAAGATACAAGAGTTATGCTGATGGCAGCAAATATATATGTAATCCAGACCTGGAAGATTAGTATCCCAGTTTTAAACTTTTGGTACTTCACTTTTTAGAAATATTTATTGAAAAAAAATCTTCCAGTCTGTCTTTCTTAAGAATATATAGTAATATATGATTGATGCAATGATTATTGCATAATAGCAATATATAAAATAGAAGGTTTGAAAAATAGCTTCTCGTTTGATATTCAGAATCAATTAAAAGATATTTGACCAAGTGATGATTTAAATTTTGTGGAAGGAAAATGTATTGAATCAGCAATTTTAAATTATTGACTTATTGCAGTTTATTTGGGTGAAAAATGCATTTCTTGGTTGAAGTTATACTGAATCTTTTTCTGAAACTTTAATTAATAATTTCTATCTATCTTACTCAGTGGTGGGATTCAATTTTTTTTTTACTACCGGTTCTGTGGGCGTGGCTTTGTGGGTGTGGCAGGGGAAGGATACTGTAAAATTTCTAGTCAGAGGTGGTATTTGCTGGTACTCTGAACTACTCAAAATTTCCGCTACCGGTTCTCCAGAATACCACCTCTGATCTTAGTACCTGAAAGTTAAAAGCAGGCATTGCAGAATCAGGACTATTTAGTTGCTCTGGTAATGACGACAGCCTTTTAAACTTTGGAACAATGATGTCTGAATTTCTTGTTGATCCACAGCTGTCAAAAGCTATTTTAGCTTCATGTAAATTTGATTGCTTCTAGAATTGCTGTTATAGCAACAAATACGCTTTAAACTCTTGTGACTCCCAGAATATCTATAAATAACTGTTGATAACCAATTTTTTAAAAAAAGTTGGTTCATAAACAATTAATACATTTTCAGCATGACTAAATAGGAATTCTAGCCTTATTTGATTGTCATAAACATTGCTTCTACTTGTGTAAACTGACCTGAATTAAAATATACCTTAAAAATGGCATCATTTACCATTAACAGTTTCTTCATTTCACAATGTATCCTATCAATTCATCAATCAAACATTTTTTTGACTATCTATTTTATGCATATTGGATGCTTCAAAATGACAACATTTGTAATTAATGCAGTCTGGAAATGTAGGTTTAACTTATGCAGGTGTGTTTGACATAGAAATTCAGATTGGGTAATGTGACTTCATTCACAATATCTTTAATGAAAATACAATTGTACAATTCTACAGATGCTTGTCTATATTACATTGCATGGACAACTGATATTGGATTTAATCCGATATAATAAAAGACTGGCAGTATAACTGCACATATTTCAAAGTGCAAATAAATTTTATTCATAGGAATATAGCTTGCTTTTCACAGTTGTAGCTACATACTATTTAAGTATCTTTGTCTCATAAAGATAAGTGATAAGCACATTTCTTCTTGATAATATCATTTCAAATGAAAATTGAGAGCTTTCATAAAATGGATGTATACTCTTTGCCAGCATCCTAATACATGTGGCATTTTAGAAAAAAAGATTTGTGCATTTTATTTATATGCAAGAATCTTTTTCTGCGAGGAATAAATACATTATTTTACCCTGCTAAATCAGCACACTTAAATATAGCACTGTTTTAGACAGTTTTATTAAACCGACTAAAAGTTTCATTGTCACTAGTACAGATGGATGTATATGATTTTAACAATTGTATTTATCCAGTTTTAAAGCCAGGTGTTTGGGGAGCAATGTTTTTTAAATAAAACAAGGACCAGTCAATAATAAAACAATAAAACTTTGCTATATATCACTACGGAATTTACAGAATATCAATGGAAAAACTAAATTCTGTAAGAGCCTAACAAGGCAAAATCAATAGGAGGCAATAAAACTATATGAGGAGGAGGAAAAGTAAATAAGGAACATGAATTTTGCTTAAGTGATATAAGGGTGTCCAATTTTATTGTAACTTTTAGATTGCATTACTACTACACTGTTCTTGCCACCTTTAATAAGTGAATTGCAGCAGTTGTTAAATTGCTAATATGGCTGTTAAGTAAATCTGGATTCTCCATTGACTTTGCTTGTCAGGTCACAAAATGACTCAACGCTGCAGCTGTCATAAATATGAGTTAAGCATCTGAATGTAAATCACATGACCATTGGGATGCTGCAATGTTTATAAGTGTGAAAAATGGTCGTAAGTTACTATTTTCAGTGCCATTGTAACTTGAACATTCACTAAATAAAGTATAGTAAGTCAGGGATTACCTGTATAGAAATTCTAAAATAAAAGTATAGGATGTTATGACAAGTAGTAAGAAAAACAAATGAAAAGGGTTCTTTTAACACATTTCTTAAAGTAAAATAATTATGAATTTGTTCAGGAAATTTCTACCATAGAGACATGCTGGAACAGAGGAAAAAAGATGCTTGATAACTACACGATACATGGGCCATAGATTAAAGAGAGAGAGAACAATAAAGAGAATACTTGTGTAAAATAACAAGTCCAAACTATGGAGATTCTTCAAAAACACAACTGTAAAAGCTAAATATTACATAAAACAAGATAAAATGTAGCACTGCATTTAATTTTCTCTATCTTGTGACCAGGTTTAATCAATGAAGGCTGTGTATATGGTGATTATTGTACTCTCTGGCATATCAGTCTTATACATACTATAGTTATTAAAAAAGTAGAATTCACTGTGATTTGTTCAAAAATAATTCCACGTATCAATGATAGGCAACATGTAACTCATTAGAAATGGCTAAAGTCTCATCGCTATGGATAATGTAGAGCAATAGTGAGCACTAGAAGGTAATTTTACATTTTGAACGTCAGGTAGCCTATCCTGGCAATCTCAATTAATTTCATAAATGTCTTCTAGCAGTTGATATAATAAATCTACAATATATTCAGCATGCAGAAGTCAGTAAGAAAAGTATGCAGCAAATAAATATTGACAATTATTTAAAAATTCCAATTGCACAATTTTAAATGACAACTCACAGCATATAAAGATCTTGCAGATATATACCTGACATTTACAATATGAAGGAAACCTTGAAAGAATGCAAACTACTTTTTTAAAAAAATGTCCATTTATGACTCAAATGTCAACGTCTTACAGGACGACTTCATCCTTCAATACAGTTTGCATAGAAAATGGTCTAGACAGAAAGGTATTCTTTGAACTTCTCCATGACGGCACTCATCCTGTCAGCAGGGACTACCATCACTGTTCGTAAAGGCTTCATAGGTGTATCTTCAAAAGACCATCTGCCTCCCAAACATGAGTCACTCTCTTCTTCTACTGAATAACTGAATTTCAGCGCTGATTGCTATTTAAAAAAAAGAAAAAACAAAACTAAATTGATTTGGATTATTTCTCAAGTGGAGAAAATAGTGTACAATTAGAGAATACAAAATTAAATAGCAAGCAAGACACTTAATGAAAACCAGCTATAACTGAAATTCTTGATCAGAAGATTTGGAACTGCCTCCCCCTAAATCAGGATATAAGTCATAGCAGTGGAAACGTTAATTACCATTCCTCTGTTAGCCAAGCATAAGGTTAAACAATTGTTTCAGATTTAGAACAGTGGAGCATCCAGCTCTAGAGACCAATTCCAAAACTTTTCTATTCAAGGCAGATGCTTCTTAACTAGATCTGTAATGGTAATCAACAGAATAAGGACACAGGAGCTAAGGGTAAGTTGTCAAACCATACATGGTAAACCCATGTATGGCAGTAATAAGTCACTATGGCAGTAATACATTTATTGTCTATATTCAAGAGTAATTTCATAGTAGAAACAAAAAGCTTAAACCACAAAGCTGCAACACTTCCTAAAGTTGCTGGGAATCAGGCAGTGTATACATGTAATAAGTAAATGTGTGAATTAAAATGCACTTGGGAAATTGAACTAAACAATAGTTTCACCTCATAGAAAAATTCTTCTTCGGCATTTGAAAACATTAGCTCCGCTTTCTGGTGGGTACCACTTCCTCTTTTTTTAGCATTCTTCTTATTGGTGTAAGTCTTGCTAATGAGAAGGTAGAAGTAGCATTTGCCACAAGGTTTGTTTGTACGCTGAGCTTCTGCTATTTCTTTTCTAGAAGTGAACAAGTTAATTACATTAAAAATCAGGGGCAAAGCACTTGTTATATAGCCAGCCCTCATCCCACAAACTGTAACTACAATAACATTTTAACACTTAGAAGAAAATGGAATTGTTTAAATGTTTTCTCCAGCTATCGTACAACTCTGAAAACTACATAATTCAATTTGCCTGCAATATATTGCTAAATATTTATGTTCCTTACAAACAATATTTCCACAATCAAGTAAAATAATCCATTCACAATAAATTGGAATTAAAGGCCATATTAGACAATATTAAAATGCTGGACTTCATTTCTCTGGCCTGTTCTTTACGTGTATTTTCTCTTTTTGCCTCCTATTCTAGATATTTCCATTTAAATAAGGTTTCAGAGGTCATCCAAGGATAAAAATTACAGTTCAAAAATGATTTGGGAGAAGCACTTACTGTAGTTGCTGGTGCATAGGCAGAGCAATCTGGGGAGGAACATTAATGAATCTTTCACTTAGTAGGAAGCCCACAGGCTTAGTGGTGTCACTTAAAAGCTTATCCAGCTGCTCAACCAAATTCTGTTCACAGTTCTTTTCACATTGACTTAAGACCAGTTCTTTAATTTGCTCAGCACATTCAGTACCCTAGGAATCAAAAGACAGATAGTTTTTTGTGGTACAAAATAATTGTTTACGTAAGGCAACTTGAAAAAGCAAATTACTGGGCATTTTTTCTTTAGACATAGGAAAATTGCAGCTTTTAATAATTTGAAAGGATTTCCTTTAAAATTATCCATTCAATTCTCTCAACAGAAATGCTTAAACTTTTTGTGTCATTCACCCTTTTGTCTGGTGAAGCCTAGAGACCCCTTCCCAGAAAAATGTATTAAAATAAAATACATATAGACTGTACTACAAAGGAAACGGATTATACAGTTATGAAAATATTTAAAAATATCGAATATATGGTATAGTAGTATATGTGAAAATAAAAACGAATGTTTTTCTCCATCCTAATTCTTGGACACCCCCCTCCATTCTCTGAAATCTATTCATGGATTCACAAAGAGACTTACTTTCCATTCTAGCTCAGCCACAAAGCAGCTATATGAATTGAAATCCTAATAAAAATATGAAATGCTTCCAGCCTAGATTAATTCAACAAACCAATAGTAACAAACCAATGCCTAACTTCTACCTTAAATGAAAATATGCCTGAAATAAAAGTAACCTCATTATTTGAAAATTCCAACAAAAAACATAACTTAGCATTAACCAGTTCTTTGTTAAAATTTCTGCTGCTACAAATGAGAATAACCATTTCAAATCTCAAGGGTTAACATTATTACAATAGACAACTTACATGAGGTCATGTTTTTAACTATTTTCTAGAGCACCAGGTACCCCAAAAGCAGACTAATGATATAACGCAAGCAGTTATAAAGACAGCTGGTGTGTTATGCTTGATAATTAAAGGGAATCTAAAGACTTATATCTCGTTTTTCTGAATAACTGAAAGAAGCTGTGTCTTCACAAATTTTGGGGGCAGCAGTTCTAGTTACAGTAATCATTTCTAACCACTTGTGCAGCCACCAAAGTTATGATGCTGTTGAAAAAAATTCTTTTATGCTTATGATCATTTAAAGACCTTGCAGCATTCCTCAAATAGTGTCCCTTCCGGTCAGTAAGCCTTGTCCTATGCCTGACCTAAAGTTCCCCCTCCCTTTGAAGCTCAGAGTGGAGAGAAAGGGAATGTAAGAGAGTATAATGTTTGCTCTTCTACATAGTGAAAACAATGATTTTTCCAGCAATATGATTGCATGGGGGAGGTAAGATCAGGTAAAGAAGAGATCGGCTAAAGAAACTGCTTGTCTCTCCCTCATCTCCCCAAGAGATATTAGAGAAAGGAATTTCAAGAGAATGGACTGTTTGAGTATGTACCCAAAGCTCCCAGACTTGGCTTGCCTGTGTAGTCTCATTGCTTTCAGTGTTTACAAGGCAGTAAGTAGGCACTCTAAGTTTTCAAAGGAAGGGGTAGCAAACTGAGTAATTTCTCTCTTTCCAGCTAGAAATCCCAGTCCCAGTCACATTTTTCATTTAGTGACTACTTTGCTTAACATATCCCAATTAGTTGCTAAACAAGGACTAATTGCATAACTGTTAAACATTCCAATATTTCATTGCCAAATTAAGCTAATATTGATTTTTATATGCTCATAAGCACTGACCTTTCTTTCTGTTAAATTTAAAAGGCTTATAAAGCCAAAAACCTCATCATCATCGTCGTCATCACTTTCCTCTGTGACTTCTGTTTGCTATGAAAAGAAAAAAATTAAATATAGCTGTTGCTTGTTCTGTTCAACATTTTAAAGAAGAATTTTTCCCAATATAGCCCTCCTAACTGGACATGCTTCAACTCCCTGAATTTCCTGTCCACATGGACAATAGAATTTATAGTCCAACAAATTAAAAAATAACCAAGCTTGAAAAGGCTAGATTTGAGTTAAAATATATGGGCTGATTTTTCAGAGCAATGTAACATAAAAGGACTAAAACACTGTAAAGAGTTACATTCAGTAGAAAAAAGGAGAATGTTTCATTGGAAGAGGGAGCATTAAAGTATTTAGTTTCTCAACACCAGCTTAACTATCTGTGTTATAGGACCCAAAGATAAATCAATTCAGAGTACCATATCTGTGGAACCAACATTTATGAAGTTATTATTTGTTTTGCACTTGCCACCTTCATTAAGAAGAGTCAGGCAACTTATCCAAATTAAAACCTTAGAATATTAACCACATTAGCAAATGCCTGGGAATCTGTGACTAACCACAGAATTGGAGCAAAAGGAAGAAGAAAATGTATTTATATTGTAAAGTGCTCGGAACTTTGGGAGCAGTGGAGCACATATATTTTTGTTATTAAATAAGCAAGATTATTCAGAAACATGCTTATTAAGCATAGTAGAGATACAAAACACATGGGCTTGTGTTGTATCATTTCCATGAGAGTATTTTAATCTGCAAATTCCTTAAATCATTTTGTTGCCATTGTGATTTTTCTGCATCTCTTCAATTCCACAATACATTCTCAAATTTATGATGACCAAAATTACACATTGCACAATGTTTCCAACTCTGATTATATATTTTATGATTGTACTGAATTGGTAGTTTTATTTTCAATTCCCTTGAAACTTTTTTTCTTGTAACAATTACCTGCAATTGTAATGACAGCTGACAGGACTCAAATATATGCTTTCTGAGCAAGCATTATCAGCTCAAATCCCACAAACATATTTGTGCAACTTTGTACTTGCTTACATACTGATCAATATTTAGAACTACAATATTGCAGGAAATGGCACTTTCCTCAATTTGCTGAATTATATAATGAATTACGTAAAAGGTGAACTTGAACAATTCTATCTAGTCTCTGAAATACTGTATCAATTATGAGCAGCTTCATCTTCTTCAGTAGTAACAGTGAATTTAAACAACTATATCAAAATTGTAACTGATTTGCTCTGATTCTAGCAGATAACTGGCAGCCTATGCAAAATGATACTGCTCTGCCTAAAATGCAGAAAATCTAGAACAGGGATCTTCAAACTTGACAAATTTAAGACTTGTGGATTTCAACTCCCAGAATTCCTCAGCCAGGCATGAGGAATTCTGGGAGTTCAAAGTCTCTACAAGTCTTAAAGTTTCAAGTTTGGAGACCTGTAGTCCTGTAGCACAAGGAAATTGTTGGAACTGTTTTGCTGACCAATAATATTCCAGTAATTCTGTGGGAAATTCAAGTTAATTATGATTATATTGTAGAAATAGCATATAAGAAGAGAAGTTATGAAGTTAAATGGACCTAGAAACATGAGCATTGTGAAGATGAATCTTCAGCAATGTATGGTTGTCCAAATAAAATTACTTACAGATAAATGCATGATATAGGAGTCACAACAATGGGAGAACAAGAGTAAAATCTTATTCTAACTAAAAAAAATAGTATGTAAATTAAGAAAATATGAGAACACACTATACCTTAATAACACTTCCAATGTGATTTTGTTGTATCAATATATCAGTCAGATCACCTATATTAATAGGAGCCTTTAGAAATAGCTGAGATAAAAGAGATGTTTATTTAATATAATTGTGTAAAATCAGATTTAACAGATAAAGCCACTTTAGCACTTGGCAGGTAGAAAACTGTAGCATTCATTTCTAGGAATTAAGGCAATATTCAGATGAACTTATAACTTTCTGCATAATGTGCTTACGATTTAATTTATAATATCTAACCATTCTGTACTCATTTTCTTTATTAAAATGTAATATTCCAATTCACCTTGGTAAACTAACGTGAACCACAGCTATGCATTTTTTAAATCAAATTGGAATTCATAATTATAAACTTTATATTCCTTTTCCTCCCAATAGCAAGCTGCCACAGAAATAACAAAATAGTATTGCCATGTGATTAAAAATAGCAATAGCACTTAGACTTATATACCACCTCATAGTACTTTACACCACTTTCTGAGCGATTTACATTGTCAGTATATTGCCTCCACAATCTGGGCCCCCATTTTACCGGCATCAGCAGGATGGAAATCTGAGTCAACCTCAAGCCCTATCAGGATCGTATTCCTGGCTATGGGCAGAGTTAGCTTACAATACTGCATTCTAACCACTGCATTACCAAGGCTCCTATGTCCTCAGAATGTGGCAAACAAAATCTCATTTGTCCACAATGATTTGAGAACAGTTAAAGAATCAATATTTAGTCAAGAATCGTTATTTTAAAACACAAAAACTAGAATTCAGGGTTACAAAAACAACATACATACCTGTTGAAGTAACTTTTGCATTCCATTTTTATCACTATCAGTTATTGTATGTGCTTCAAATTCGATGTTTACTTCCTATGAACCAAGAGAAATAATATATATTAGTATTCATCTAACTTTATCCATTTTTAAAATCTAGCCATATGTTTGCTAGGTATATATTTGTGTGTGTGTGTGTGTGTGTGTGTGTGTGTGTGTGTGTGTGTGTATGTATGCGCATATATATGTATGTAGGTAGGTAGGTAGGTAGGTATGTAGGTATGTACGTAGGTCTAGGTGTGTTTGGGTCTTTTCCCGTGTAAGATTAAGACTATCTTGGTGACGTTTTGACGAGGTCCCACTCATCATCCTCAGGCTGGTGCTTTTGGCTTCGTGCCAGTGCAAGCAGTGTGTGATCGGAGCTGCCGTCTCTCTATAAATACTGGTGGGGAGGATGCTGTGCTGGGTTTTTTGGCTGCGCTGCTGCCTCTTGATTGGTTGATGGAGTTGATGTTGGTATAATGGGCTGTGTGATGGCCTTGTGAGTTTTGTAGTGGAGATATCCTGGATCTTGTAATCTCCCGGTCGTTTGTTTTGTAGTGATCTTTTTTCCATTAGCCTCCCGGGTTTTAACGGCTTGGGTAATGGGTTGTGTGATGGCCTTGCGAGTTTTATTGCTGTGGTATCCTTGGTCTTGTGCTATGATTTCCTGGATTGTTTGCTATGTTGCAACTTCTTGAGTTCTTGTGGTATAATTTCCTGAGTTTTCTGATGTGATATTCTGAGCGAGTGGCTGTGATGTAGCATTCTGGGTTTTGGTCTGGCTTCGAGTTTGGGGTCTGGGTCTGTGTTCTTGGTGTGTCAGCTTGTTTGGTTTTGGGGTCGGGGATGCGACAGCTGGCGAAGCAGCCGTGGTCTGATTTCTGGATGGTGGTTGTCCTTCGTTTATAGGATGGGTTTGGGCCTGGGTCTGAGGAGAGGGATTGGCAGTGGACCTACATAGACCTAGACCTACATACCTGTACCCATGAAAATCTACGAAAACATATGTATGTATGTATGTATGTATGTATGTATGTATACATGTATATATTTGTTTTCTTAAGTTTTCGCGGGTACTTACATGTATGGTATTCAGTTTTGTTCGGGTATTTTCCCACGTCATTATAGTTGTGCTTTTAAAGTTGTAGCAACGTAGGCTAGCACCAAATTTAAAACAGAAACGGCTGTGAAAGTCTGACTCACAAGCAAACATTATACAGAAGCCTAATGATGGCAGATGACATTCTGCCGAAACATTGCTACAACTTTAAAAGCACAACTATAATGACGTGGGAAAATACCCGAACAGAGCTGAATACCATACCATACATACATACATACATATATACATATGTGTATGTGTATGTATATGTATAAGTAGGACTAGGTGTGTTCAGGTCTTTTCCCATATAAGATTAAGAGTATCTTGGTGATGTTTTGGGGAGGATGTCTCGCCATCCTCAGGCTGGTGCTTTGCAAGCACTGGCACAAAGCTGAAAGCACCAGCCTGAGGATGGCAAATGGGACCTCAACGAAATGTCGCCAAGATACTCTTAATCTTACACGGGAAAAGACCCGAACACACCTAGACCTACATACCTGTACCCATGAAAATCTACAAAAACATATATATATATATATGTATGGTACTTAGCTTTGTTCGGGTATTTTCCCACATCATCATAGTTGTGCTTTTAAAGTTGTAGTAACGTTTCGGCAGAATCTCATCTGCCATCATTAGGCTTCTGTATACAGAAGCTGTATACAGAAGCCTGCTGATGGCAGATGAGATTCTGCCGAAACATTGCTACAACTTTAAAAGCACAACTATAATGACGTGGGAAAATACCCGAACAAAGCTGAATACCATGCATGCATGCATGCATACATACATACATACATACATACATACATACATACATACATATATATATATATATATATAGAGAGAGAGAGATGTTTTCTGAGGTTTTCGCGGGTGTTTGCATGTGGATCTTTGGTTATTTGGGTTTTCTCCCGCGTAGAATTGGAAGTATCTAGGCGACGTTTCGATGAAGTCTCATTCATCATCTTCAGGCTTGTGTCTTCAGCCTTGTGCTTCTCAGAGTAATGTGAGCTTGCAGCTGCTTCTGGAGGAAGCAGCTGCACACTGCTGGCTCATCTTAACTGATTGTTCACAAGGATTTTTCATGAGTTCAGTACAGGTAGTCCTCGATTTACAGCAGTTCATTTAGTGACCATTCAAAGTTACAACTGCACTGAAAAAAAGTGACTTATGACTATTTTTCATACTTATGACCATTGCAGCATCCCCATGGTCATGTGATTTACATTCAGATGCTTGAAAATTGACTCACATTTATTACAATTTGCAGTATATTGTGGGAAGCTCCCCCCCCCCAAAGAGTGAAATATTTTGAGGAATATTAAAAAGGCAAGATGTTATATTTCCCTAAATGAGAAATGGAGAAACATGTTTTTTTAAAAGACAGACAGCAGACTCAGTCTAGCCCCCCTACCCCCGCAGATATTTTGTGCCCATTAAGAAAGACTGGGCCAGCCTATCTACAGAACAAAAGACCTTCAAGCTTCAGGGTGATGGGATTAAGAACAAGACATGGTCCTTCAGGACATAATAGGATGAAACCACTACCATTTAGCAGAAGACACAGAGCTCACTACATTGCACAATCTCCTAAGGGCGTTTCAGACATTGCATGTCCCCTCCAGAGCAGTCCAAACTTCACCTGGGAACTCAGATAAACAGTAAGCCAGAGGTAAACCAAATTAGCTCAGACAAGCACCTAGGATCTGCATTTCCTCTTTTCCTTATAGAGCCAGCTATGACCCTCTACATAATCCCTACATGGCCCCATGAAGCCTGACAACAGCCAATAGAATACATGTGGAAAATTTACTCAAGCCACAGAAACAATATATTGTAAACAAACTGCAAAGGCTATGATAAATGGAGAGTTAACAGATTTTATATATATATAAGGGACTAGACAAGGCTGTCCACTGTCGCCTCTGTTGTTTGTGTTAACACTGGAAGTGCTGAATAGGAACATCAGAGAAGAAAAAGAAATAAAAGGAATGAAAATTAAAAAAGAAGAGTATAAATTACAAGCTTTTGCAGAGGACCTGGTATTCATATTAGAGGATCCATTGGAGTCAGCATCTAAACTGATGGAAAAGATAGAAGAGTATGGAAAAGTAGCAGGTTTGAAAATAAATAAAGATAAAACAAAGATTTTAGCAAAGAACATGTTAGCAAGACGAAAGAAAGAATTGGAGGAAGTTTTGGGGATCCAGGTCACAAATAAGGTTAAGTACAGTATTTAGGGATACACATAACACCAAGATGTAGCACACTTAAGGAGGACAATTATCTTAAACTCATGAAATTTAGAATATCTCGTATAGAATGATGGAAAAATAGTTTAGTCAAATGAATGATTAATAATTGATATTACATAAGCACAAGCTAGATTGATAAGGTGAGAATTTATATAACTTGTAATGGTAAAAAAAAAGGGTAGCATAAAAGATTGTAAACAACTGACACATTGTATGTATATAATTGAAAGAGGGTTTTAGGTTTTGTCTGTATGTTTGTTGTAAAAAATAAAAACTTTAAAAAAAAAAGAATACATGTTTTTGCACAGGAACAGGAAGCTTAAGTGCAAAGCCCAAAGAAGATATAAAAACCCACCCACTTTCAACTCCATGTGGTCAGCTGCCCAGAGCCACATGTGGTTCTGCTTCATCATTAAACCATCTTTCCAATTAGCCTCCATGTTTCCAGTGTCTTTCTCCCAGCCTGGACCTGAACCAGATGGATATTTCTTCCCACAGACCCGGGGATCATGCAATCACCTTCTGACAAGCAAAAGGGGAGACCAGGTTCACTTAACAACCATGTTACTAATTTAACAACTGCCACGATTCACTTAACAAACGTGGCAAGAAAAGTCGTAAAACGGGGCCAAACTCACTTAACCAATTTCCCACCGAGCAACATAAATTTTGAGCTCAATTGCGGTCGTAAGGCGAGGATTCTCTGGAATTCGGAATGAATGGGAAGCAAGTTGGAAATGAAAGGGATTTCCAGGCAGGACCACACTGTGGAAACAGCGGGATCTTCTCAGGGGGAATGAAGCCAAGACCAGCAACCAAGCGCCGTTTTGGGAGCCACCACCACCCCTTCCCGGACGCGAGGCTGCGGACAACTCTAATCAAGAAGCCGGGAAAGTCTCGTCTGCTTGCAGGCAGAGGTTGGAAGAGAAGCTGCCGGGCTAGGGTAGGGGTGGGGAGACTCAACTCACCTCGTTAATTTCTTCTTCGTCCTCCTCGCCATCACTCTCCAATTCCGAATCGGACTCCTGGTCGTCGCTGTCTTCCTCTTCCTCCTCCTCCACCAGCCGGGACTTTGAAGGCCCCTCCGCCTTCCTCCGCTTCACCCCAGTGGCCATGCTTCTTTCTTTCTTCCTTCCTCCCTTCTTCTTCTACGCGCATGCGCCCGCCAGCCGGAAACGCGGGCGGCGGGGAAGCGAAAGCAAAGGCGAGGAGCGCCAGTCTGGGAGAGGAGCGACGGGTCTCGACGTGGTTCGGAGCCGCTGCCTCCTGTGGGGAGGACCCGAGGCGGGAGCGAGGGTAGGGGTGGGGAAGGGAAGGGGAGCTGCTCCTATTTCAACCAATGACCGCTTGGCTGGCTTAGATAGGGTAGGTAGTGAGCGCGCGCTCCGGGAACGGAACTTCCCCTCTGTCAGAAGGGCTGCGACGGTCTAGGGTGGAGCTTGGCTTCTTCCTTGGTTCTAAGTTAGAGCCTTTCGGATCCGAGTTGCAAAAATGCGGGCGACCTCTGGGGGGGGGGGGGGGGCTGCAAAGTGGTTGCGTAACGCTTTAATGCTTGGTTGCCGCGACTTTACCTCTCAAATATAGTCAGCCTGTATGCTGTACCACAGGGGTCTCCAACCTTGGCCACTTTAAGCCTGGCGGACTTCAACTCCCAGAATTCCCCAGCCAGCAAGTC